AAAAAAAAAAAAAAAAAACTTGTTTTTTATGCTAAAATTTTCATACAGCCATCAAAAGCATGAGATAATAGTAAATTAAACCCCGCATGTGGAATCACACATTTCTTTTGGGATAAAGAATAATAGGTTGCATCCATCAGTAAAGGAAGAAGACATTGCAGCAAAAGCCTGAGAATAAGTTCGGTAAGCTACTGTTTAAGCACTTGGCATAGAGTAACCATTGCCTATTTATAGACCTAATGCTATCAATGTAAATTTATTATTCCTAGTGTGCACGGTTAATTGACCTTGGACAAGTATACAAATCCATTATGATTGACAAAGATGTCGAGAGCTAAAGTAGTTTTTTTTTCTCATTCCTAATAACAGTACCTTTTCATTTTTATCCAAGGTCTTTCCAAAAAAGGATATCTTCTTATGATATTCGAGTACCATAACATATTCCTTATGTATTCAATTTTGGTCAATACACTATGATTAGGGTGATGAAGTTAAATATCAGTAAAGATTTCGATGGGAAAGATGATTAGTTCATCTCTCTATTAGATTTCTTCATATCAGTGAAGATAAAGCCTATATGGAACTGTTTACAAGAGGCTACAAAGCGAGCATAATCTGAGAAAATCTTTTCAAAAATAAAAAAAAGGCCAGCAGAGAGACTATTCATATCTATTCTATAAAACATTTCTTTGTTACTTAAGGAGCAAAGCTAATTGTATATGTGAAACTGAAATGGTTAGTCTCTATTTATAATATGATGATGATTTCATATAATTATCAAATAATTATATCAGATAACAACAGTAACAGTACTATGGAATATATTTAAAAAGAGAGTACAATGCTATTCTAAAAGATATTAAGCCCAGTATGCCCATAGAAGGCACCAAGAATGGTTTGTAGCTATCCAATTTAGGGAGTAAGGCTGTGGAGATAGTCTTTTAGGTAGTCATCTTTTTAGTTGAAATTTTCCACCTGTCACGAGTTGTTCTATTTCCATTAAAAACAAAAACAAAAATTAATGCATATTTAACCGTCTTCTTCCTTTTCTACTTTCTTTTGTATGAAAATTCTATTACTTATACTCTCATGCATCATCCTACCCATTTACGCCTACCGAATTGGAGCTGGCATATCTGATATCACTGGCCCAATTGCTCAAATAATGTTGATGGGCTATGCTAAACGAGGACAAACCGGCCAGGGAATCTTACAACGACTATGGTCGAGAGCATTCATTATTGAAGATGAACGTATCAGACTCGTCTTTGTCAATACAGATACTCAATCCATGGGCGATATTGTCAAAAAAAGGGTCGTACAAAAGTTACAAACACTTTATGGCGATCTGTATACCGAAAAGAATATCATGCTATCGAGTACGCATTCACATAGTGGAATGGGTGGATATTTACAACACAGTAAGGTCGATTTACATCCATCATTTATATTTATCTGATCAATTGTTTTCACTAGCCTTGTATGAGATATCTGTCCTGGGTTGGATAGAAGAGACTGTGGTACCAATGGTGGATGGCATTGTGCAATCCATTGTGGATGCTCACGATAACCTTCAGGAGGGAACTATCACAATTTCACAGGGAGAATTGCTTCATTCAAATATCAATAGATCACCTCAATCCTATTTACTGAATCCTAAAGAAGAAAGAGACCAGTATCAGTATAACGTGGATAAAATCATGACCGTCTTGGGTTTCAAGTCCAAATTGGGGCATAATGTGGGACTTGTGAGCTGGTGCGTTGTAAGAGAGAGAGGATAAAGTGACTGACAACTGATCGCTCTGTTTAGGTTTCCTGTTCACGGGGTATCAGTTAACAATACCAACCGTCTTATCAATGGAGATAACAAAGGCTACGCTGCTTATCTCGCAGAAAAAATAATGCTGCGGAATCAAGCTAGTTTCATAGCTGCATTTGCTCAAAGTAATGAGGGCGATGTCAGCCCAAATACCCTTGGTGCTTACTGCACTGGTACTGACATACCATGTGATGGATCTCGGGACGACATTTGTCCTGAAAACAGCGAGTGTTATGGAAGGTGAGTGAATCACTCCCTATATTTGGTTAGCATCACTCACATCATCTAAAAAAGGGGGCCAGGTTGGAAGATAAGTGACCTTGAATCCAATCGTATCATTGGTGAAAACCAAGCATTGAAGGCATTGGAGCTGTTTCGACAAGGAACCCCACTGACAGCTGTTCAGCTGGATTATGCACAGCTTTACTGGGATATTACAAAGTCAGTGGTGACAGACAAATTTGGTAATCAAGCTCATACCTGTTACCCTGCCATGGTAAGTACCATGAACAGGCTAAAGCACATGTACTGATTCATTCTCTACTTCTCTTAGGGTTATGCATTTGGTAAATATATATATATATATATCGCTATCTCCAGTTAATTACTGGTCTAACTTCTTTATATCTACAGCTGCTGGTACGACGGATGGACCTGCACTTAACGGATTTTATCAAAACAGGACTACAGGTACCTTTTTTTGGGACATTGTGAAAGACATTGTCCATAAGCCAACTAAGGAACAAATCCGATGTCAAGCTCCCAAGCCCATCTTGCTGGATACGGGCGAAATGTCTATTCGATCGCATACCTGGCAGCCGGAGGTTCTAGACATTCAGTTATTTCGAATTGGCAATGTATACATTTATGCGGTCCCCTCCGAATTTACAACCATGAGTGGTCGAAGGTTAAGAAAGGCAATTAAGCAAGCATTAATAAAGCATCATTTGGGAAATGAAGATACCGTTGTTATTCACTCTGGTCCAGCAAATGGGTATGCTGTAAGTTAGAAGAAAAAAAAAGTATATAAAAGAATACAAGGTTCATCTTTTTATTTACATAGTCTTACTGCACAACTTATGAAGAATATCAACATCAGAGATACGAAGGTGCATCTGTAAGGTAACCTTTATTGATAAAAGGCTTGTACATTGATTTTTTTTTCTTTCCTTCAGACACCCTATGGGCCTCATACCTTACAGGCCTACATTGATGCATTTGAAAAGCTTGTGTTCATGATGGCAAATCCAACTGATCACTCGATTCACTCTGAAATTCTCCCAGACTTTACAAATCGCTCCTTTAACTTTGCTCCTCCTTATCGTTCAGATCAACCTCACCCCTTTAGATCATTTGGTGACGTTTTGATCGATGTCCCCTTTTTACGGTACAATAGACACTCAAAACCGATCATCTCTGCCTTGTTTGTTGCTGCCAACCCACGTAACGATCCGATGCTTGGAAAGACGTTCTTGACAGTAGAGAGAAAGGTGAATGGTAACTGGGAGATAGTGCGTACAGACAATGATTATGATACTAGGTACATATATACATTTGACCTTGTCTTTTTTCTTATTTAACTTTTTTATTAGATTCTACTGGCAATACAAGTATCCACTCCTAGGTATGTCCGAGGCATTGATTGAGTGGCATGTAGATAGCTCTGTAGAGCCAGGAACCTATCGATTAGGTTACTTTGGAAATAATAGAACACCATTTCGCAAGTAAGACACATATATATCCTTGCATAATATGTTTATATTTTAACATGGATTCATTAGGACCATTACATCCCATCATGGATATTCTAGAGAATTTGTTATACTTGACAATTAAAACCATTTGTACACATAAAAACAGCTTTTATTTTATTTATATCTAAGCTTCACTAGAGTCTTCTTTTCTTGGCTTGAAACACTTGGGCATTTGATAAACAGGGATTTCCTTTCTATCAGATCCTTGTTCAAAGTTGGGTGGTTTAGAAACCAAACCCAAGATTTCAAACATCTTTTTGTCGTCATTCATCTCATTGTTGGGTGTTGTGAGTAATTTATCGCCTGTGAAAATGGAGTTTGCACCAGCCATGAAACAAAGGGCTTGTTCAGGAATGCTGAATCGAACACGACCAGCAGATAAACGGACCATAGATTTAGGCATGACAATACGAGCTGTGGCAATCATACGAACCATCTCAAACACGGACACAGGTTCTTGCTTTTCTAAGGGAGTACCGGGAACAGCCAAAAGAGCGTTCACTGGGACACTCTCGGGGTGTTGAGGTAAGGTAGATAAAGTGTGTAGTAATCCAACACGATCTTCTTCTCTTTCTCCTAATCCAATGATACCTCCAGAACAGACAGAAATGCCTGCCTTTTGTGCATTGTTGATCGTTTCTAAACGTTCGTCGTATGTACGTGTGGTAATAATCTATATTGAGACGTGAGCATTTTTGCTTGTATAAAAAAAAAAAAAAACTTACCTTGGGATAGAATTCACGAGAAGTATCCAAGTTATGGTTGTACGCGGTTAAACCGGCATCCTTCAACTGTTTGGCTTGTTCCTCATTCAACATACCTAATGTACAACAAACTTCCATACCCATTGAACTAAACACGGTTTAGAGACCAGTCATTCTAACAACCTCTTTTTTTCTCTCTTACCGAATCACTTTGACATGATCTAAAATCTTGTTAAAGTTTGATTTACGTCCAGCCAAATCTCTCCAAGCAGCACCCATACAGAATCTACACCAGTGACCCACATCAGTACACATAGATGAAGAAGGGGGTCAGTTTGACTTACCTTGTGCTACCAGCATCTTTTGCTCTTTGAGCAGCGTAGAGGATCTCATCAGAATCGAGTAACTTTTGAGCCTTTACGCCTGTCTTGTAACGAGAAGATTGTGGGCAATATTTACAGTCTTCAGTACATCCACCTGTCTTGATGGATAACAAGGTACATTGCTGGACTTCTCTGCCGTTAAAATTCTCACGGTGGACTTTAGCCTAAAAGCGATGTGAATGGGTCAATTCAACTTACGATAGATACTAATACTTACACCATAATATAACAAATCCATCAAGGGAGAATCATAAATGGCTTGAATTTCTTCTCTTGTCCAATCATTTCTCATGGGGGTGCCAGCATGTAAGGCAGCAGCTGATAAGGATTCAGTGGCAGTTTTTTGAGTGACACTGGCAAGACGTGAGGGCAAAGTGGTTGAAAAGGATCTTGTCTGTGTCAGTGGTCTGATGAGTAAGCGAAAGGACATGGTGGCTAAAGTAACAAAGAGAGAGAGAGAGAGAGAGAGAGAGAGAGAAGGAAAAGAAAAGAAAAGGTGAAAGAACGCGCTTATCGTTGATAAAAAAATTGGGGGGCCGGGATTTCAAATAATGTGAAAAGCACTTGTATTTCAGATTAGATCGATATTACAAACAATAAAAAAGGCGTTGTGTAGAAATACACACAAGGCCGTGTCTAGGAGCGACGTTGGAGCACATTAATAGGCTTCAAAAAGAATATGAATATGCTCGCTTTATTCGATACATGTTGTATTTCATCATTCTCGCTTAAGCTATCATTTTACAGCAATAATTTTGTTTATATAAGCATATTTGAGAACAAACACAATCTTTTAGATATATTTGATAGTTAAACAAGAGTATTTAGAAAGAGTTGGGCCCAGTTTGATAGAAATTGAGCAGACAGAGTTTCTTATTTACGTGGGTGAAGAAAAGATGTTTGTTTCATGAGCTTATCAATTAATCTAATCACTGTTTTACAAACAAAAAAAGAGACATCGATTTATGACAAACAGTGAATGTTCAGATAAAGAAATATTTCATAAAAGGAAAAAGACAGATCCGTGAGTATTTGTTCATCTGTTATTCCAGAAACTGTCAACAATAAACTCATCCAGGTCCGCCGGGCTATTTCTTTTTCCTTTTTTTCTCTTTCTCTTTTCTTCTTTCAAAAATGCCAACTTCATTTCTACCGACACGCGCGTTTCAGGCATATCAAATATTTGCAGCCAATACAAATGTAGGAAAGACCATATTTGCAACTGGCTTATGTAGAGCTGCCGCCATTATGGCCGAACAAAACAATAGAGACGTATTTTATGTCAAGCCTGTACAAACTGGTTTCCCGATGGACAGTGATGAAAGGTAGAAAAAGAAGAGTATATTATCATACAAGATATAAACGGCGTATAGGCATGTCAAAACATATAACAACTCGTTACTATTGAAGACTAGTACTCTCTATACGTATCCAGATCCAGTCAGTCCTCACATAGCTACAGACAAGGTAATCTATTTTGTTTATTATGTCTTCAATTACTCATGTATTGTAGCCACCTAAAGACGAGGAAGTGCTTGAAAATGTAAAGCGACAGATACTAGACTATGTACAACAACAAAAGTCCAATGGGAGCTATTTATTCTTGGAGACAGCAGGTGGCATTCATAGCCCTGTTATGTCTGGTAACACTTATTATTGAACAAAGGAGATGACAGTACAGTAATGAAGATCATGTAGGCACACCACAGGCTGATTTTTACAGAAGCCTGAGATTACCCACAATTCTGATCGGAGACAGTAATCTGGGTGGTATCTCCACTACTCTGACCTCCTTCGAATCTCTCAAATTGCGTGGGTACGACATTCCAACGGTTTTATTATTTGATCAATTGAGATACAAGAATCATGAGTTAATTCATCAGAGAGTTCATAAGGAGAGTCTTGTAGCTACCGTACCCAAGCCACCACCTATGCAAGATGATCCTGTAAAGGAACAAGAGTCAATGAAGAGATACTATGAACAATTAGACGAGCACTTGGTGCCCGTCATAAAGCATCTCGATTTGGAGCATCAAAAACGTTTTGACAGGTTAGAAAGTATGGCAGATAAATCCCGTGATGTCTTTTGGTGGCCATTCACTCAGCACAAACTGGTTGGGGATGTTACGGTGATTGATTCTGCTTACCAAGACAATTTCACCACGTATCAAAATAATCATCCGAAAGAAATGTTTGACAGCTGTGCCAGTTGGTGGACTCAAGGCTTGGGGCATGCTAACCCAGACCTTACGTTATCTGCTGCCTATGCTGCTGGACGATACGGACATGTCATTTTCCCTGAATCAACTAATGAAACAGCTCTTTCGTTGGCTGAAAAGGTTCTCGAAAAGGACACATGGGCATCGCGCGTTTTCTTTTCAGATAATGGCTCAACTGCCATGGAAGTCGCTCTCAAGATGGGCATGAGTGCTACGGCTAAACGTTATGGTTTTAATATCAAGGCACCTGTAGAAGTTCTGGGCATTGATGGTAGTTATCATGGTGACACAATTGGTGCTATGGACGCTTGTGCGCCCAACTTGTATAACGAGCAAGTCCAGTGGTATCAACCGAGAGGACACTGGCTGAAACCCCCATCTGTGCACATCTCTCACGGACGTCCCTTTGTACGCTTACCTTCCGAAATGGCTCCTCAAGGGTCCAACAAGTTCTATAAGCCATTGGATGACATTTATTCTTTAAAAGAAGATAAAGAGTTGACCAAGATTTACTCAGACTACATTCGTCATGAACTAAAGTCTCTTGGGGCACAGAATCGTCGTATAGGTGCCTTGCTTATGGAACCTGTCTTGATGGGCGCTGGTGGTATGATCTTTGTTGATCCTCTCTTTCAACGCACTTTAGTCGATATTGTAAGAAATGAAGGTTCTGAATTACTTTATGGTGTCAAGAATAGTCAAGAGGATGGCTGGAAGGGTTTGCCTGTGATATTTGATGAAGTGTTTAGTGGGTGGTACAGACTAGGCCGTAGATCGGCTTCTGAATTCTTGGGAGTGGTAAAATTTAATCTAACTTTCACCCCAACAATTATTTTAATTTGACTTTGTAGAATCCAGATATTACCGCTTATGCAAAGACATTGACAGGTGGTCTATTGCCTTTAGCCTTAACTGTGACCAAGGAATCAATCTATAATATATTTTTATCAAAGAATAAGCCAGATTGCTTGTTGCATGGTCATTCTTACACTGCTCATCCCATGGGCTGTGCTGTGGCCAAGACTTCTATTGAAACACTTGATCACTTATCAGAAACAAAATGGAATATCTTCCGCGACAATTGGAAGAAGCAGGACACTGTTTGGTCAATGTGGTCTCCTGCTGTTGTTGATCAATTGTCAAGATACAACAATGTAGAAAGTGTGATGGCATTAGGTTCAGTGCTGGCCGTAGAACTTAAAGATCAACATAAAGGTATTTTAACATCATGTTAAACACAATGTTCTTATGCCTCTTTTTTGTTAGGTTATGGATCCCTTGCTTCAAAGTCAATAGTTGAGCATTTACGCTCCGGTGTTTTCAAGAATGGCTTTGATGGTACAGAAAGAACAGGTGTTAATTTATTCGCTAGACCTCTTGGTAATGTCGTTTATCTCATGACCTCCCAGGTTACTACGCCTGAAGGAGTACGACAGTGTGAACAAGCGTTCTTGGAGGCAATTGAAAAGCACAATAAATTATAATAGACGATTTATGCTTTATAAAGAGATACAAACGTTACATTAATAAAAAAAAAGGGTGACTTATTAAGTGTATATATAAACTTTGCTCAGAGCGAATGAAGCGTCTGTTGACTTTTATCATGCTTACAGCCTAACTAGTTCAAACATTTAAACAAGGTGTGTCCTTTTCAAGAAAGAGAAAATGTACATGCGATGTTTGATGATAACTACGTTATGCTGCGTTGATTAAATAGAAAATTCTAATCATGTTGTAGGTTGTACCTTTGAGTGTTTTATGCAGTGATCCAGAAGAGTCACACTTATTTTTGTGTCTCTATTCATTTTTTTATTTCTTCTCTTTCTTTCTTAAATACAGCAAACGCAATATGGCAAGATATGCAGTAATTTGTGCAAGTAATCAGAATCGTTCAATGGAAGCACATCATGTATTACAGTAACGTAAAGCCCAGTTAATTTACATGTATAAAGCCTTCCTTCTAATGATTTACATCAGAAAAAAGGGATTTAATGTAAACTCATATGGCACAGGTACCATGGTTCGTCTACCAGGGCCTTCTATTGATAAGCCAAACATTTATCCTTTTGGTACCCCTTATGAACAAGTATACCAAGAATTAAAAAGCAAAGATCCAAATCTTTATACACAGAACGGTCTCTTGAACATGTTGGATCGTAATAGAAAGACTAAACCAGCTCCTCAGCGATGGCATGAATCAAGAGAAGTGTTTGACGTGATCATCACTTGTGAGGAACGTTGCTTTGATGCAGTCGTAGAAGGTAAACTGCCTTAAAGGTCAAATAGAATAACATTGGGCTAATATCTCTCTTGACAGATCTAGTCAATCGAGGACAGAATCTTAATCAGAGTACACATGTGATCAATGTCGAAATTAAAGATAACCACGAAGATGCCTTATTAGGTGGTCGAGCTATATTGCAACTAGCACAAATGGTATAACAAGAAGAAGAAAAAAAAGAAGGATATGCTATTAGATACTAATTAAACACACACAGATAGAAGCATCTACTGATATTGATGCTGACATGGATGGTATCATTGAAGAGTTTACCTCAAGGAATCCAAGCTTCCCTATTCTACACACTGTAACATATTTTTGATTTATTAAAGATTTTTTCTTGCCCTTTTCTTTTTTTATTCCTTGTTTAAATTTATGACAGAGCTTGATGATGAAGAAGTGTCTTCTTCTTCCACTTTTGATCTGAGCCAATTGCCAAGTTCCTTTAAAAAGTTTCTTGACGACAATTCGATAGATCCAGCCATTTACACTGTAGTAGATCTGCCTCGATATTTTCGAATCAATACTAGCCTGCCAAAAGAAAAGTGGCCCACATTAGAAGGATTAAGAGAACAGTTCAAGACAGATCAAGTGCAAGAGATCAAAGGCATCAAAGGCTTCTTTAGTGTAAAATTAGACAATGTTCGCCTTTCCGACACTCAAGCGTATAGACTTTTTATAAATACAGTATAGAAACATAAAAAAGCTAACGATTACTTTAGGTATAAAGAATCTGCAATATTTGGCATAGATGTCAGCTCAGCCATTGCGGTAGAAGCATTATCCATCACCCAAGACGATCAAGTGCTAGATTTATGTTGTGCACCAGGAGCTAAATTATGCATGATTTCTAATCTGTTTGGAAAAGAAGGTGTAGGAACAGTGACAGGAGTTGACATTGCTGAGCATCGATTGTCCACTTGTCGGTCATTGCTAAAGAGATATAAAGTAGGAGAAAGGGTGCGTCTGTTCAAGGCAGATGGTACTACATTTTCTATACTTCCTCCTTCGCGAATAGGCAATAGAGTGATTCACGAAGAGCACGACAGTAAACGTCAAAAGACAGAGATTGTCAAACCATTCTGGGCACCTAAAACACTTCGATACGATAGACAGATAAATCATGGTGTATTATATGACAAAGTGCTAGTAGATGCAGAATGCACACATGATGGGTCTATAGCACATATTCTAAAGGTAAAGAAAGAAAGAAAAAAGAAAGGGGATATTCGTGTGCTTAATTCAAAAACTTTTAGTATGAAAAATGGGGTTGGGACTCTTTTGAAAAGAATTTTATGGACTCAAACAGACTAAACTCAATCACCGAGTTGCAGCGTAACTTAATGAAACAAGGCTGGAGGATGCTAAAGAAGGGAGGCATAATGGTCTATAGCACATGCTCACTAACCATCAGTCAGAATGAGGAAAATACAGCATGGTTTTTGACTGAGCATCCGGATGCTCAGATAGAAAAGATACCCAACTATGACATTCAATCTTCCCCTATCAAAAAACAGAATATAAACTATAAGCTTCAAGGTGCCCTGGAAGAGCACTGTGTACGATTTGATCCAATTGCAAGCTGTACAAGTGGTTTCTTTTTGGTCAAATTTGTCAAAAAGCTTTAATTGAACTATTTTTTGTCATAAATTTCACTTATGATGTCCCAATCTCTTTCAATAAACGTTCTTCCTTCCATCATACTTTCATCTGGTCCTACTTCATGCTCACTGCTTTGGGCTTCTTCTTCCAATGGCTCTTCACTCACTCGCTGCAACTCTTGTTCTATCGTCTGTTCTTCTTCATCTTCTTCTTTTGGCTCCAGTATGCCCAATTCAATTTCTTTGCCCAAGTCTTTCAAAAATCGATCTATACGTCGATGGTATCCAAAGAGAAGTTTATGTGATACTCTGACCATCGGTTTCTTTATATATCCTTGCTCTGTGACCTTGAGTGTCACTGCTCTTTCGCCTTGTACTGGCTCAATCGTCAAGGTCCAGGAGCCTGTAAAGATGGATGAAGAGCCAAAATTGGACTTTTCTTCTAATACTCTCAGCAGCTTTCTTTCAGGTTCCTGTTCGATATGGGTCACAATCGTTCGTTTATCTTTTTGTATGTCGAATTCAATAAATGTGGTTCTAGTCGTTTCTTCATATTTGTTCAGTTCGTTTTCTTCGTCGTCAACATGAATTTGATCCACATGAGAGCGCCAAGCAGGGTAATCTTCGACACTAGTTAAAATAGCCCATAATATTTCTGCGGTCGTACTGTACTTTATTGTACGGGTAACAATATGCTCTGAGGGTAAACAAAATCCAACGGTGTATAATGCAAGTGGTATAACAAGAATCAGTAGTAATATTCCAACAATGACTGTAACTATGCTCATGCTGAATTGTAATAATAAAGAGAAGAAAAAGAAAAAGAAAAAGGGAGCTTGATTTTATTTTTTTTTTTATTTTTGTTCTCACTTTACATATTCGTAGAGGAAAAAATTACTAAGCTTATCCATTGTATCTATTGATGTAGACTTGGTTTATTTGAAAAGAGAGGGGGAAAGAAAAAGAGGAGGGAAAAAATGCATTGACAGATCATCTGTATGTGTGTACTTCTAGATATAAATAGTGTCACTGCAGTCAAAAACAGGTGAAACACAGTAAGGGACTAGGTGTTTTAAAAGGGTACGAAATCTAGGTATACAACACTGTATTTGCCTTAAGCCACATCACACAACCTAATTTTTATTCTCAGTACAATTCTTGCATATTAACACACGGTTAGCCCCCTCCCTCTCTGTCTTTTTTCTTTTCCTTTACTTCGTGTGCAATGAGCCTAGTCGATGAAGCAACCACTGTAAAGAATAAACTGGTTCCACCTGATGTTCTTTTAAGAATATTCAAGTACTTGCCGGTACCAACACTCGCTAATGTGGCACTGGTGTCAAGAAGGTTTAAAGTCTTGGTATACGATGATGAAATTTGGGATGAAAAGTTACGCATTATACTCAAGAATGACACTGGCGCCCTTTCCAATATGCTAGGTAATAGAAACACTCACTCTATCGGTGATATACTGACAGCTTGGTCTACAATAGAGACAAACGGTGCCAAGGAAAATGGTTCGCTTATAGACGTCAAAAATATGATATACATCAACAATAAACCACTTAGTGCATTGATACCAGGCATGTCCACCGATTCTTTCCAGGCTCGTGCAAGAGCCAAATCGACTGGATTGTCTAAAGAGCGATTTAAGGAGCTTTATAGGTTACTCATGCCCTATTATGTGGATCTAAGAGACCATAACAAGGAATCAAACAAAGTGTTGCATGATTTTGGAAACCAGCCAGAAGTATGTGGACAGATTATCAACTTGCTTGTCGGGTTCGGTCAGTGTCATGTATTAGATGATTGGAAGCAGGTAATGATGACAAAAAAAAGGAACACAAGTATGCTTACAGACATTATAGTTGAATGAAGCTGTTGATGCATTATCACAATATTTCGAAAGTGCAGCACTCCATGAATTTGAAGTAGCCTATGATGCCCATGATGCAGATACCATGAGGACCTTTGCAAATGCATTAATCGCATTGAATGGTGGATCGATCTGTATGCAGACTTATATACAAAAGCACTCATTATTCTATGACAGCCCATATAAACCAGAAGACAATTTTGTGTAATTCCATTTGATCGTACTTACAATTATAAACTAAAGATCAATTTAGGGAATCACCAAATGATTTAGAACCATTCAAGAAACTGATGTTGTACATTACTGACGAACTCAAACAGAAATCGAGGCTGATTTATGATATATTCCCTGAAAAGATGGACATGTTTTATATGTTTACAGATAGTGTTTGAGGATGTGGTAAGGGACACAGTTATTGAAGTATGACAATTTTCAAACTAGCAGCAGATCGCGGAATTTGTTGCTCATTTACTAGGAAATGCGATACAAGCAAGCACACAAATTTACTTGAAGGCCATGTCCGTCGTCCTGAACTCGACAAAAAAAGTCATTGATGTGCTGACAAATGATGAAGATATCCCTCAAAAGATTGAAAAGGAGCGGGGAGTGAACTTATTGTTTAAATTCTTTTTACCATTTTTGGATGATTATCTTTATGAGGAAAGTCAGTTTACGGAAAAAGTGTCGCAGTTTTAATACGATACACGCACTACACTCACACATAATTCAGTTTCGTACGAAAATGTAAATAACCTTCCGCAAATTTTGTACCAAATGTTTGGAAAGCCATTGCTCATCCCCTTCAGTGTTTGGAGACTCCATGTTTACAAAGAATAAGCTTTGACATGTTTATTAACAGAATATAAAGTAAAAAAGAAAAATCAATATTTCGTC